TTTTGTTCTTACATAGAGGCCAGCAAAGTATCAAGCAAGCATGCAATAAATTATGTAGTTTGCTAGAAAAACTATGAAGATCTTTGATATCTATGCTTGGTAAGGCATGTGGTTTCACGAGTAAGTGGAGCTTGGTTTTTTATAACTTACAAGATTTTTGTAGTCATTTTCTAAATTAAAACCGTGTTTCCATGGCAAACTCTATTTGAAGTAGGAATAGAAACTAGGTTCTTATGTTAAATGAGTTCCATGAAGGTCATTCAATTCTAGCTTATTGCACATTTTGCTTGTTTAGTTTGTAAACATTGTATAGTCATTATGAGTGAGAATTTATATATCTAGCATAACTTATTAGTTTTAGAATTTAAGATGAAGGGGGTGTAAAATGAAAAATAAAGTAAAATAGTCCTATGTTTATATTGGTATTTAAAGGATGCTAATAAAAATATTTTTGAGAGTTCAGAATCTTAAGATTTGGGTTATTTATTAGGAAACTATTGTTATGTGAGAAAAATAATTAGTGATATTAAAAATGTTGTAAAGTATGTGCTTGGAGAATAAAAAAGAAAAGTTTCTAATAATAAAAATAATTAATGGTGAAATCAAAATGCCCAAGAAAAGATAAAAATATGGAGCTTTGTTATAAAAAATTAGTTTAAATGTAAACTAAAAAAATTGAGAAAGATGTAGAGTGGTCGGTATGGATTTTAAGAAAGTAATATATGATATAATGAATTTAGTTCTTGTTGCATCCAATATTTTTAGTTAATTTTGTTTTATTGTATTTGGAACAATATTAGTTGTGTTTTATGTTTTTTTTTAAGCTATCCTATGATGGTTGGGCTTCCAATGATCATGGTAGGAATGTGCTAGGCATGACAAGCCTTGGATTTGCTTGTTTTTGAGTTCATTTCGTCCTTGGGCTGCTTGCTGATTTTGGTTTGGTGTGGTGGCTGCTCTCGGGTGGGCCTTGGTTGCTTGGTGTTGAGCTCAAAATGCTGGAATTCTACTTGGTGTTAGCTCATAAATGTTTGAGCCTCTGTTTAAAATTGCGCAACAAGAGGCGCGCCTCTGAGCAATTCTTCCCAAAGGCGCCTCGAGGCGCACGCAATTTGGACCCTGGTAGAGGCGTACGCCTCACCTTGTGTGAGGCGCGCCTCAATTGCGCAATTATGGGTGAGGCATACGCCTCATCTAAATGGCCCCACCTACTTAAAATGAGCATTTTTTTCCCTTAAACCCCGTTCGGCTCCAGGCATATCCCGATAGTTCTCCGCCCGCAAGCCCCAGTTCGCGAAACCGAGAGCCTCCCGCACGGTCGGCCTCCCTTCTCGCCGCCTCTCCCGACGGCGCCGCCTCTCTCCGGCGAACTTGAAGTGTCCGGCCGCCTTCTAGGAGAAGTCCACAATCGATTTTAGGTATTTTTTTTAGTTTTTGGTTAGATTTTTCAAGTAAAAGAAATTCTAGGTTTTTTTTTTTATTTTTTGAATTATTTTGTGTGATTTTGGATTCTTTCATTATGGATCATGGTTAGAGGCAAGGAAAAGGGGTCTACGTCATTGTGGAGGGACCCTTCTTGCAAATATAGTGTACAAATTGACATAGGCGGCGGAGAGAAGAGCTATGTTTATTTGAAATGCAATTTTTGGAAAAAGTGGTGAAGGGAGGTGTTACCCACATGAAGGAACACTTATCATGCTCGCATAAAAACGTAGCACCATGTGCAAATGTGCCGGAAAAGGTGAAAGATGAAATTATTGCTTATATGAAGAAAAGTATCACGACAAAACACTTGCAACAGGAGCAATTTGATGATAGGGTCGAACATGGTGCTTACTTCGGGAGCGAGAGTGGAAAGGGCTCTTCCTCCACTATACATAACAGAGGTGCACGGGGTCCTATGGATCAGTATATGACTAATCCAGTAGAGGACAAGCACAAATGAGATGTTTTTATTGTAAGATAGAATATTGCTATTATTTACTTGCTAAAATCCTTAATTTCTCATTTACGCAATTCTGTGTCCATGAGGCTTACGCCTAAGACCGCCTCGAGGCTTACGCCTCGCCTCACGGACGAAAACCGCCTCGAGGCTTAATTACACAATTTTAAACCTTGGTTTGAGCTGAAGTTTAGCTCAATGATTGGAGATTAAATGCACTCCCTAGCTCATAAATTCATAAATGTATGCAATTATTCAAGCTCATTATTGTGGAGTGGACTTGTGCCTCTTCTTCTTCCCGTTGTCTTCTCGGTTTCTGTTGGCTGTTGCTGTTCTCGTGGCCCTCCTCGTTTTCCCTCCTCCTGGCTGTTTCTCGTGAATTACCTCCCTGCTTTCAGTGCTGGCTCTTCGAATCCCTTGCTGGCTGGGTTTCCTGTGGCTGCTGGGTGGGGATTTCTGTGGCTTGGCTCCCTGTTTTCTGTGCAATTTTGCTGCAGCAGTTTTGCTGTCTTTTGGCCTTCTATTTTGTGTATTTTGGCCTTTTATTTCCCCAAGCCTGATTGGTTTTGGTTGGAGGTGGAATGACTGTTTGACAACCTTCTTTTGCCTTTAAAATGAAGATGTTTTGGCATGAAAAAGGTTGTTGAAAATCTGAGAAAAAATCTCTACAAAAACCTGAGGGTTTCTTCTTGGAAAAGCTTGAGAGCTTGTTCCATCCCCCCTTTCCTCCTCTCTATTTCGTATTGTCTTCTAACCCCTTCTTCTCTACGCAAGTTCCACTCCACTTGTATCCTTCTTCTTGAGCTTTGGAAGTGTATGTTGGCTGAAATTTGGAGACATTTGTCGGAGGTGTTTGGAAAGGACGTTGGACTCTTTTGCAGTGGTGGACCCTTGGTTTGCAAGCCTAAGCACAATTTTCATAAATTTCCTACTTTCGTTGCATGTGAGGAGACTGCTAGACGGTTTTACTGAGGATAGCATTTTTATGTTTTTATTTTATTTTATTCGATTTGGCTTTTGTTTCTCCTAAGTTTGTTTAGATGTTTGCAAGCTACATATGAATCGAGTTTGGTTTAAGTCTTGTCCTGGTGTTCTCCAAATTGTCTCTTTACTCTAGTTTTGCTTGCATCAGTTCTTAGTGATTTATATAATAGATTAGATATAAAGGAGGGCGAAAATATATGTATAAGTTAGCTTAGCAAATACATAAAAAGTAAAGATTTAGTTCAAGTGAAGTGCATTAATGATGAAAATTAAAAAGTGCTTTTCTTAGAAGATGGTATTCAATGTAGGTGGATGTGATATTTCGATAAACTTTTCAATGAAGGTTGTGAGAATACGATTGGTTTTAGTGCCCTTAGCATTCTAAATGAATATATCATTTTTTTTTATCATCGTATTAGTAAAATTGAAGTTAAAGAGGTTTTAAAGAAAATAATGTATGAAAAAATAGTAGGTTCTAATGATATTCCAAGAGAAGTGTTAAAATACTTAGGAGATTAAGAAATTTCTTGGCTTAATAAAAATTTTAATATTATTTTAAAGACTAAAAATATGTGTGATGACTTGAGGAGTGTGTTGGTTCTTATTTTTATGAATAAATGTGATGCACAAGAGTATAAAGAAATTAAATTAATGTGTCATACATTAAATTATGGGTGAGAGTGATTGAGCATAGGTTATGACGTAATACTAATGTTTCTCAAAATTAGTTTGGATTCATGCCGGGTAAGTTTACTATGGAAGCTTTACATTTGTTGAGAGATTTGATAGAGAAATATAAAGAGTGGCAGGAGGATCTACATATGATATTTATCGATTTGGAGAAAGCATATGATAAAGTTTCGAGAGAAGTGCTATGAAGAATTTTAGAAAAGAAAAGAGTTGATAATGCTTATATTCATGTCATTAAGGATTTGTAGACAGGAGTTTTTAATTGTGTTCAAACACTATGTGGTTTCACCAAGTATTTCTTATTTCAGTTGGATTACCTCAATAATCAACTTTTTGCCCATATTTTTTTGCTTTAGTCATGAATGTTCTTACTAGATATTTGCAAGAGGATGTATCTTATGTATGTTTTTGGCTGATGATATTCTTCTTATTGATAAGATTAAGGAGGGTGTTGATGAAAATTTTGAATTATGGAGGTCAACTTTAGAGTCTAAAGGTATTCATTTGAGTAGAACTAAAATTGAATACATAGAGTGTAACTTTAGTAGTAATAGATCTAGTGGTGGGATTGTGACATTGGGTGATCAAGTCATTAAAAAGAGTGCATGTTTTAGATATCTCAGTTCTATTGTTCAAAACGATGGTGAAATAGATGGGAATATTGTTAGTATAATTGAAGTTGGATGGTTAAAATGGAGGAATGCATTACGCCTATTGTGTGATAGAAAATTATCTCTCAAACTTACAAGAAAATTTTATAAGATGGTGATGAGATTTCTAATGCTTTATGACATAGAGTATTGGCCATTAAAAGTGAAGCATAAAATAAGTTAAGTGTTGCAGAGATGAGGATGCTCAATTGGATGAGTGGCTTTACAATTAAATACAATGCGAAACGAGTATGTATATATGAAAAGTTTGGATTAACTCTAATAGCATATAAGATTAGAGGGAGTTGCCTTAGATGGTTTAGTCACAAAAAACTTCGGCCTTCAGATGACCTTGTTAGGAGAGTAGATGTATCAAATCCGGTCTATGTTAAGAAATATAGAGATAAACCTAAAAATACTCTTTTAGAAAGTATTAAAAATGACCTTTTTTAGTAGTCTTCCATGAGAATTTGACTCTTTGTAGAACACAATGGAGAAAAATGATTTATGTAGCTAACCTCACGTAGTAGTGGGATAAATGCTTGATGTTGTTGTCGTTATACTCATAAATGTCTTAGGCATTTGATATGATTGTTTGCTTTACTTGCATAATTATAATAAATTTAGTTAATTTATGGTATTTTGTTTTGTTTAGATTGAAATTTTATGGCAAATCTAAATTATACTCCTCGTGGTATGCTTACGTGGATACTAATATCTGACTGTCATTTCAGACGCAGCACTCATAAAGATGACCTATCAAAAAGCTCCAAACGCAAAATTGAGAAGAAACTTAACTTTATAACAAGTAAGCTTGTTAATTCCATTTAAACAGATATTTCTTTGATTTTATATTATTTAATCTTTATCTTGTCATCATTCATTATTTTTTTTAGCAAGAATCATGATTCATATTTGAGTTAATTAACAAAAAGTTCAAATATAAAGACCAAATGTTTGTAAAGACCATGATGCTTCATAAGTTATCATATGGTTAAAGTTTTTATACCTTAATTGGCGTAATATGAGAATGGCAATATTTTCTTGAGATTTTATATTGATTTCACATGTTTTACTATAGAATGAAGATCTACTTTTCTAATCCCTTTTTCCTGCCATCTACTTCTCTTTGATCTTACCAAATCCTTTGAGGAGAGCATATGCTGCTGTTTAAGGGTGTGATTTTCCTGGACTTGACTTAAATAGCTCATGCTAAATAGGTGCCTTTTTTTAGTTAATGTGACAACTTGCTTTACTTGTGTAGACTGCTGATTTTTCATCCGATTGCATGCATATTTGAACTAATTAATAAAACTTAAAATACATTTCAGACACTCATAGGCATGTTGAAAGCTTCGTTTTTCATCTTACGGTCTAAAATTTTTTTGTACCGTAATAGCTTGTAGTATGTGAATCGCAATAGTTACTTGGGGGCTGTTTGAAACCACTTTCTTTTTTTATTATTATTATTTTTTTAATTTTATTTATATTTTAATATGAAATAAAAATATGTCTAGTATAACAATAAGTGTTGTTTTTATTTTTATTCCATAAGTCGGCAATAGCAATAATGATGGTGGTGATTGGAGCAGTGGCGGATTTATATTTTAATATGAAATAAAAATATGTCTAGTATAACAATAAGTGTTGTTTTTATTTTTATTCCATAAGTCGGCAATAGCAATAATGATGGTGGTGATTGGAGCAAAAAAAAACCTAAAATATTTTAGTAAGAACACAAACAAAAATAAAAATAAAATGGTATAATATAAGTTTTATTAGTGTCTAGAAACATATTTCATATAACTAACTAGTTTGTAGAATGAGGAAGCACACAAATTTTTGAAGGAGTAATATGCTTTTAAAGAATGGACAGAATGAATACTGTTTAAGTTTATTATGACTATAATGTTTAAGTTTATTATGACTATAATGAAACTAAAAGTCTTGTAAAGCATGTAGTTTGAACAAAGCAAAATCTATAACTTTTGATGAGCTATATAATAGCCTAGATAATAAAGAAAACGAAATGAGATATATGATGTAGCTTAGTCAAGAGAGAGAAGATTTAAAGATTTTGATCAAGTTACATCTATATTAAAAGCAAGGTAAATTGGTTGAACAAACTTTTGAAGGAAGATGAAAAGTCTATTCGAGAAATGCCATTTTTAAAAGAATCATGAAGTATATTATAGATTAATCTAAAAGGTATGGTTGAATTGGCTTGATGAAGGTATATAATGGTACGCTTGATGCAATTATGAGATATCTTTTGAGATTTGGCACGGTATAAAGATATTGCTTTATTTTGTATTTGTTTAACAATTATCTACAATGAAACTATATGAGAATTACAAATACTTGGAGAAAAATCATTTTGGTACTAATTTTAAGTACAAAGGAGATTTTTAAGATTATGGTAGTTATATGGGAATCAATTAGAGCAATGCAATAAAATTATGGGATAAAGATTAGAATATTTGATTAGAAAAATAATGTTGGTATCAAATAATTAATTTAGTTCATGTTAGGAAGATGATAGGAAACACTTAAAGATCTCAAGTACTTCTATCAATCTTCGAAAAAACAGTGAGCTTTCTCCACAAAATCCACACAAAATCACAAAAACAATAGATACTTTGTATTATTTGATGAAAGGAACACAGAAAATAACAAGATACACTTGATCCTCAATTCGAGAGGAGGATCGATCTCTCCCAAATCTCTAGACGCCGCTAGAGCCCAAAGAAAATCTAAATTTAAGGATCTCACATTTCAGCCAAATTCAAGATGCCCTAACCCTAGGAAAACAAAGTATTTAATGCATACAAATCAAAAAGAAATCCCTAAGAAATCCCTACATTCAAATTTCCCTCCCAAATCCCTAAAAAATCCTTCATAAATGGCTCTGTTTGAACCAGGCGGGGCGTGTGGCTAAAACGGGAGGTGGAGGCTTCCTCCTCGTTCCATCTGGGCCGGTCCCGCGTGGACCGGTCAATTGGATCGGTCTAACAATACTCCCCTCCGAAAGATCCACCTTGTCCTCAAGGTGGAGATATGCTCGTGTTTTGGTGGAGGTGGCCATCCTTTAGGCGGCTGAAAATCCTTACAAATTTGCTGAATTAGAGGTTGTCCTGAAAGAGAAATTTCCCCTCCCTCCTTCCTGATCACATCCAGCTTGTGTAGTCCCACCAGAAAATCTTCCCCCACCTCTTGAAGGCCCCTAACCATGGTCTTAAGTGATACCATGGCTTTGGATAGCCCTGCATCTCCCCTTATAATCACCTTTCTCCCATCCACTATTAATTCCATCGTGAGTGCTCCCCAATTGTCCTTCGTTTCTCCTAAGGTTTACAACCAATTCATTCCCAGGATGACATCAGCACTTTCTAATTTTAGTGGAAGAAAGTCCTCCCTTACCTGAATCCCCTGGATGGTCAACATCACTCCTCTACAGATCCCCTGGCCTTACTCCCTATACCCATCATCACTCCATAACAACCGGTGTCCTCCAATTTCACTCTCAATTGGTCGACGACCTGAGTGGAAATTAAATTGTGGGTAGCCCCACTATCAATTAGCACCACCACCTCCCTGCCCTCTATCTCCCCCTTCACTTTCATGGTATGATTCGTTGTGAATCATACCACTGAGTTCAGGAAAACCTCAGCCAGATCCAAGTGTAGCTTCTCCTCCATCTCCTCCTCACCTCCCTCCTCAGTTTCCTCGTCATCGCAGACAATGAGAACCTGAAGAGTTTGGTCCTTGCATCGATGCCCTGACGTATACTTCTCATCGCACCTGAAACACAACCTCTTTGCCCTCTTCTCCTGCATCTCCTTCTCTGTTAGCCTCTTGAAATTTTCCCCACTCCCTCCTACTTGCTTCTCCCTGGTGGTCTCATTAATGTTGCATGAGGCAGGTCCCTTGGGTGCTAGAAGAGTGATCGTAGTCTTGTAAGAGCCTCATGAGCTGCTGCTCCTAGCTCCCTTCTCCAGATTCTTCTGATTTTTCACTAGTTGTGCCAACTTCATGGCATACCCCAAGTCACTAGGCATCAGAACTTTCACTGCGGCTCGGATCTCTTCCTTCAACCCCTTCATGAAGTTCCCCTCCAATACTGTATCTGATAATCGCTCCACCCTACTGGTTAGGTGCTCAAACTGCTTCCGGTAGTCTGCTACTGATCCCTCCTGTGCCAGAGCAAAGAACTGCTAATAGAAATTCCTCCCCGGTCAGTTTGAAAACGTTCTATTATGCAGTCCTTGAATTCCCTCAAGTTCTTGATAGGTCTCCTCTGGTCTCTCCACTGGTACCATGACAGTGCCTTCCTCTCCAAACATAGGCATGCTGCTGTCAGTTTCTTCTCATCCGTTAGCCAATTAACGACAAAATACCTTTCCACCTTATAGATCCATCCATACACATCTTCTCCTTCGAATATGGGCATCTTCAACTTCCTCACCTTCTGATCGCCCCCATTGCCCCGAAATCTTCCATAGTTTCCCCTCACCCAAGTGCTAGATGCACCCCATGTTTCCCCGTCTTCCCTTGCTCTACCATAGCCCAAACTCCTTCTAAATTCCCCCTTATGTTTTCAAAATCAGCACCTTGGCGACCATAGTATCCCTCATGGCGTTCCCCATAACCACCCCCTCTTTCACCCCTCTGGACAGGCTACAGATGGGGTCTTCTTCATTCTCCTTCCATGATTTCCACCTCATCTTTCTCCCTACGAATTTTCGAATTCGTACTTTTTTCTTCCCCTCTTGCCACGAACGCCGCCGTTTGGTTTTGAATCTCTAACATCTTTTTCATCATGTCTCGGAGATCGGCGACTTGTCCTTCCATGGAGGAAATCATTTTCTCCACCGTCGTTTTGATTTGATTCATCTCCCCTTCAAGCCTTTCTTCTAGAGCATCCACCTTTTTGGCCGCCATCGCAATCTGGAGTTTATAAAATTACAAATTATGGATTTGAAACTCCAAAAACAGCAATCCCCCTTTCTTCTGGGCAAATATTTACCGCTGAAATTTGCCAAAATCAGCGCTCCACCGGTTTCACGACTTGATTTGATACCAATTTGATAGGAAACACTTGAATATCTCAAGTACTTTCTATCAATCTTCGAAAAAACAGTGAACTTTCTCCTCAAAATCCACACAAAATCACAAAAACAGTAGATAATTTGTATTATTTGATGAAAGGAACACGGAAAACTACAAGATACACTTGATCCTCATTTCAAGAGGAGGATCGATCTCTCCCAAATCTCTAGACGCTGCTAGAGCCTAATGAAAACCTAAATCTAAGAGATCTCAAATTTTAGCCAAATTCAAGAGGCCCTAACCCTAGGAAAACAAAGTATTTAATGCATACAAATCAAAAGAAAATCCCTAAACAATCCCTACATTCAAATTTCCCTCCCAAATCCCTCAAAAATCCTTCCTAAATGGCTCTGTTTGAACCAGGTGGGGCGTGCGGCTGAAACAGGAGGCGGAGGCTTCCGCCTGGACCGGTCCCGCGTGGATTGGCTGGATCGGTCTAACAGAAGATTCAATATGGAGGTAATTTTTGTGTCAAGGAAACTAATGGATATGTATAGAGAGACATGAAAGGAACTTGTTATGCTTTTTATCAATCTTGAGGAATATATGATAAGAGTATTGCAAAAATTGATTTGATACACATTAACTAATAAAGGTTTGTGTTGAAGTTATGGTAAAGTTTTTAAGTTGTTTGAATGGATATTGATGGGGGCTATACGGTCAACAATGTGAGATACACACAAAGTTAGCGTGCAATATGAATATACTTAGGTTTTCTTTGATATAAAAATAATAAAAACCCACTAAATACGCAAGTATGTGTCTATCAAGTAATAAAGTGCCACAAAAACATAAAAAAAATTGATATAAAATGAATTGAATGCCTTTCATTTGGTGCATCGCGCCTATGATACACATTATCATTTCTTCTACTTATTTTGATTATATTAAATTATACCTGAAAATATTAGAAAAACTAAAATTAAGCTGCAGCTTAGTGAATAAAACGTGTTTTTAAATTACAGTAACCCAAGACAATTAGAATAATATGCATGATCATTTCAATTCATATCATAAAGTAATTCTATTTAGTTTCATTTTATTTTATAACTTTCAATATTATGCATATACAATGTCTTTATTTATATTTTTCTTTTTTCTCATAAATAATACAACCGTCACAAGAGACACCATCTAATTTAGTACAAATGAATGTAATCCTTTTCCATTTAATTTTCCTTTTTCATTTATGTGAATGGGTATATTGCGTCTCTGGTCAGTACCATAAGGAGGTGTGCTCCATCAGTAATCTGATAGGAAATACTTGAGTTCGCAAGTAACCCTAAGGTAATACTTGAGTTCGCAAGCAACCCTAGTCAGCTAGTTAAATCACCTAATTTCTCTCATATTTAATTTATTTCTAAAAGTACTAAATTTTAAATTAATAATTTATTCTCCTCGCTTCATTAGTTAATTATGGTTTAATTTTTGAATTACTTATAAATTCTCAACATTTAAATTTTCTTATATTTTATTAAAATATACTATTATTTTTCTATACAATTTATCCTTGACTCTTAAACTCATTGTTTGTCAAAATATAGTTTACAGCTTAATATAAGATAAATTTAATTTATTCCTTATCTAATTTTAAATCTCATATACTAATTTAATTATGGTCTCTTTCAAAAATATTTTTTAGATTAAATTTCCATAATAGTGTTAATTACTTTCATCCTTAAGAAATTCATAAATCCATATTTTAATAAATAATAATTAAACATTAAATATTATTTTAAAATTTAATATATATATTAGTTAAACATAATAAAAAAATAAAATAAAAATAAATACTTTACCTTTATTCCTAATCTCTTCCAAACTGAAGCCCTAATCCTCACGCACGCAGTTTTACCTTCAGCTGCTTGCTCGCAAGTGCCGACTCCTCTTTTCTTTCTTGATCTCTCCCTCTCCGTCGTTTTGAAAAGATGAAGCCAGCCACGAATCCAAAAAGATCCTTTTTCTGCCTCTTGTCTGCCTTTCAGTCCCTATCGTTTGTTTGATTCCACAGGAGTGAGCAAAACACTGATATTCTCCACGAGGAGTCGTTACATTTCGCATATGAAAGTTTCCTCGCTCACACACTTGATTCGGCCTTGCCAATAGCTCTCATGATCGTGGTTTGGCCGCTCGACCCACCTGCTTTATGCGCTTTTTCATTCGGTTCCATTTAGCTGATTAAGGCCAGTTCAATTGAGGTTTTAACTTTGGGTATTATATAAAAAAATCACTTTTAACTTTTACTTATGCAAATTTTTTTATTTTGAGGCTTATGCCTCAAAACGCCTTTAGGCGTATGCCTCACATTAACAAAAAATGCCTCAATACCTAATTACACAATTTTAAATCTCGACACATATTTTAGTTGCATACGTAATCTCAAATTGCTTCGCATGGGATTTGCAGGGGCCACAACTTGTGAAAGTTGTTACAGAATCTTGTAACTCTATTCTCCTCAGATTAGTAGGCTACTTTTTTTTTTTGAGAGTTGTTGTAGATAAGGATAGAAAAGGAATGTACTTAATGTTATTGGCATATGCATGGTGTAACCCAATTCAAACTAAAGTAGATGTGGCCAAATTGGTGACATCAACTTTTTAAAAATGTTGAGGGTTGAAGTATTTGACATGCTACAAAATTTTACTTCTCACTAGCCTTTGCTTTATAGGTAGGGCAGAAGAAAAGTAAAATACATGCAAACTTTTTATTTATATCTATTTTATCTCAACTAAATAACCCATAAAGATATGTATGATGGGACATTGACTAGCATTATAAAATATTTGTGAAATGATCAATGAATTCACAATAAAAATAGAGCATACCATCTATTGCTCTTTCATGGATATGAGCTAGTTGGGCAACTTGTTTTTGCTCTATTATTAACTCTCCTACCACTAGTTATAATATAATTTTTAGAGAAGTTGCCCAAAAAAAAAAGAAAAAAAAAAGAATCCATGATAATATTCTATGGATGAAGTATTAAGTTCATATTTTCTTTTTTCTATTGGTCATGAAAATACTTACATGGGATATTTAAGCTGATAGCATAGTTCTAATAAATGAGATCTTTTTTGAAATAAGATGAAAGCTAGAACAATGGACGTAATATCTAGAAGATGAAAGGGCTTAAGATTTTCAGAACGAAGAACATGTATATAATATGTAATTTTAGTTGGTGTAAATTGATAATCATTGCTAAATGATTCTGCGATATCTACTGTTGATTTTTTAAGTATATTGGATTTAGTATATATTAGAATGTTAATATAAATGATGATATAATTTCTAGAGTTACAAATGAGTGATCAAAATGCATAAATGTAGAGCACTACAGTTCTTGAGTCAGCGTCCAGTTGAATACTTGTTCAGTTGCTCGTTGATCTCAATCTAGCGGGTGGGCAACCTCACTTTGATGAAGGGATGAGTTTAATACCGGTAAAAAATTTAGGACATTATGCTAAGTAGTATAAGGTTGCTCGATAGATTTAACCTCTAAGCAATGTTTCCAATGTAAACTTTCCATCCTTTTACGCAGTACTTCTAGTGGTGGGACTAGTTTGGAGCAATTTTGAAGAGTCAAGAGACCAAATCAATCCTTTCAATTGTTGGGGGTTGAAATACCTTTTCACTAAAAATCAGGGATAATTTTGGGCTTTTTTTCCTTATTTTAAGTTTATTGTAAGAAAAATAAAAGATAAGCTCTGTCAACTTTTAATATATATTATGCTCTACACATTGTACGATCTTGGGCAATAATTTAATTTTAAGTATGCTAGATCCTTTTCACTTCAAAAAATAATAATGAAACATCTTGGTAAACTTGGCCTTTGTATTTCTGAAACAGCTATTTGAACTCCCAGATGATTACAGTTTGTGATCAGGTGGCATGCCATAATGTTAAAAGGTTCTTACAACCAATATTACCACACTGCCTCAATGTGTAGATATTTATCAAAAAAATGATGTTTTGGAATGATTATTTCCTCTAAATTCATGGCTTATCTGCTACATTCTTTCGATGAGTTTCCATATACAACACTTCTTGTAATTGCTGAAAAGTCCTTCATATGTCCCAGAATTCAGTTTTTAGTTATTGTTGGATAACATTGAAATCCACTTTCTCTAGCTTTTCATCTCCTGCTTGCGGATTTGTCACTAAAATGCTTATGATTAAAATATTTAGAAAAATGGAATATTCTGTTTTTACCAACTTAGTGATTTTGTTTGAAATATAATGTGACTTAATTTTGTTTATATGTAGAGATTACTGAAGCGGTTAGATCCTTAGCTGCTAAGAAGGCAATCAGCAAGGTGATGATTTTCTTGCCCCGAGATCCTTTTAACGTTGTTTCACCACATTAGTGATTATATTTAAAAATTCTTGAGATTTTTTCCGAGGATGGCCATAGGGTATGATGCATTCTGTGTACCCTTAAATTGGTAGCTGTATTTGGTGTGGGGTGGTATGCTCTCTAATATTTACTGAACATTTGAAAATGTAAACTGGTACTAGAGTATTAAAGTTACTAAGGTTTTGTTTGGTTGGTTGAAAAAGAAATTCAATGCAAGAGGATTGCAGTGTAAAAGGAATGCAGTGCAGAAGGAACACTTTGTAGTTATTTAGATGAGTGTAAAATAAATACAGTTGATTGTTTATTTTATTTTATTTGGTTTGAAGTAAAATGAATGTAAAGTCCAAAGATGGTGGCAGCGGCAGGCGGATAGTGGCTCTGGCAGCTGACAATGGTGGTGGCGACAGAAAGCTTGCTTGCGGTGAAAATGGTTTTCACTCAAAATTGGTCGAGTTTACCTCAAAAATAAACTAAAATAATTTACGCTGCATTCCTTTTACTTTAATGTGCGTTCCTTTTTTATCAAACCTATGTAAAATGATAACTTTACATCAACTTCAAACCAAATAGCCCCTCAAGTGAAACCCATTTCCTTTTCAGGAGTGGGATCATCATAATCATTTTTTAGAACCTATTTACGTTGCACAGGGGCATGCTTTTAATAGTTTGTGAACAAAATAAAATTTCATATACTAATAAAAAAATGCCTTTGTAAATTTACTTATTTGTCAGAAGACAGATTTCGGTTGAACTGTATATATATTTTGAGTTATTATTTCTTTCTTTTATTCATTATGTAGTGTTAATTTCTTTGTAATTTATTCATTTGTCAACGACTAATGAATTCATTGCAGAATGTTGAGGAGTGAAAACTATCTGAATCAGATCTTCTACCTTTAAATTCTTATTTGAAACAATATTTCAATATGCCAACTATTTCTAGCATTTGAATTCTATAAACAGAACTTGTTTAACTTTGTACATAAAATACATATTTTCTACACGTGTTGAAAATTTTACCCTAATCTTTACAGTGAAAATTGTAAAATACACTATTATTTAAATTCCTGTGTTTTTTACATCACACCTGTTTTAACCTTGCAAGTAATTTTAACTGTATTTTTTATTATTTTAATAAATTAAACCTAATTGAACATTTACATTGAATCTTTGTCTGTCCTGCATTTTGCTAAGTTCAACATATTACTTGAGAATGCCATTTTTTATTTTATTTCGTTTTCATTTTATTAGCTACTTGCTATTGTTAGTATGAGCGAGTTTCATGAACTCAGAGCTACTGTTCTGCAAAGTTATATTCTGTACTGTGTATTTTGATGTGATAATGAATTTAGCTATTGGTGTAACTTTGCCTAGTGAACTCTGTATTTGCTTCTTTTTGTTTAAATTTTTGCTTGTGGAAACACATCAACTCATGAATCTTATTATCCTTTCAGAAGAAAAGATTAAGAAGCCGGCAAAAAAAAATCAAGGCTTATGACTTAAGTGTGCTCTCAGACTTTCTTCCCAATGAATCTCTCAAAAAACCATCTAGATCCACCGACTTCAAAGTAAACTGCAAGAATAGGCAAAAGCTGGTGTAAGTAAGCTTCGTATTAAGATTTCATTTGGGATAGTTTTTTTTTCTACTTTTTAAAACCGTTTTTTGTATAAAAATTTTTGTACTAGAAAACTGTTTTAAAAAACAATAAGAAAACCGTCCCAAATGAAGTCTAAGGCTTCGTTTGGGAGGCTTTCTCACTGCTTCTTAAAGCAGCTTTTTAGTAAAAATTTAGTTCGTAAATTTCTATGATGCGAGGCAAGTTCTTAGAGCACTGGTCATAGGTTTGAGTCCCAGAAATTATTTTTCTACTATGTAGGGGTTGTTGGGGATTGTGTGCTTCCTTTTTAAGTTTCTAATTCAGCTGTATGTGTATGTTACCAGTCTAAAGGAGAGCGAACTATTGAGATTTGTTCACAGTCATCCAGCTTTCCAAGCTGATCCCATCTCAGCAATTCAACAACACTTGGAGCAAACACAGCCACCACCACCTGTTGAAGCGAGGAGATCCAACAAGAGCAAAAAAGAGAAGAGGAAGAGATCAAAGAAGTCTGCAAGCGTGCAGAATATGGAAATGTAGACAAGCTAGCTGATAATATGTTGCTGCCTGCAGTGCCTATTCAGGTTTTAATGAATTTCCTTTCATCTTTGAACTTACGCTTCATTTTGGATGACTTTTTTTTACAGTTTTTTAAAAGCCGTTTTAAAAAGTAGGAAAAAAGCTATCTCAAACAAAATCTTAATGGAATTCCTATTAAGTAGAAATTTGTTTATTGTTCAAATAAATCTCATGCAAGTCTTATTGTTAAGTTGATTTATGTGATGATGACTGAAAAGTGATTGACCAATAGCAATCGTTAGTGACAATGAATGACTGATATTTGTTTCTAAAAATAGTACAAAAATCTCAAAATTATTTTACATATTTATAAAATTAAATTTATTTTGGAAAAATAAAAACAGCTAGAAAATACATCAAAAATATATCTTTTAAAAATAAAAATCTTAATGAATTGACCTAAGTTGAGTGGGATGTTGTTCGAGCTCTCGACTTGTGCTTGATTCGAGTGTTTAAATTTGGTTAGTTTAAATTCAAATTCGTTTGAGTTTGATTCGAGCCTGATTTATATTGTGGTCATTGAGTTTTAAATGAGCAACTCATTAAAAACATCGAAGAGCTTTGTCGACTTGAGTGTTGCTCTAAATATAATCATATTTTTAATTTTTGTCATAGGAAGTTGCATTTAAATTAGCTTTCAAAAAAATTATTTTTACAATTATTTTTTATAAAAAGTTGTAGCGGTCTTAAAATGAATCATGAGTTTTTAATTTTACAAGCTTAAAATCCCATCTAAGAAAGCCCTGCCAATTTATCCAATGCTCAATGTGTCCGCGTATGGATTACCGGCACAAATGATGTGGGACTAAGGTTTCGTTTGGGATAATTTTTTTATTATTTTTTAAAATAGCTTTTCACTATAAAAAATTTTTATTAAAAAATTTGTTTTGAAAAATTGCCTTGGAAAATAATAAGAAAGATGTGCCACGTGCCAAATAAAGCCTAAATTGTTTATAAAGACAAATATCCAACATGGTAGCACAAATATTAGATAAAAACAATGATATAAATAATATATATAAAAAAAAATACTCAAGCTTTATATTGAGTAATATTTTGAACCTTAATTGAGCTTTATATTGAGCCTCAAATGAGTTTTTTAATGAATTTATTGACAACTTTTTAAATAAGCTTGTTCATGATCATAAACTAATCAGCAATAAGTTGCTGACTTTTATTTATTTAACAAACAAATCTTAAAAATTTTATTTATTTATTTGGTTCGTAGCTCTAAACAAATTGATGGATGACTAGGGTGCGGAACAAGAACTTTTATTTGGTCCGATGAATGTGCGTAGAGTTAAGTTCGACCGTCACTAAGATCACAGGCACAAAATGAGAAATATCAAGCAAATACCGAGCAATACCAATAATAACAAGAAATATCATTATGTGAAGATAAAATACCGTGTAATACCGAGCAATACCGTGTAATACCAAAAAATACCGAGTTTTTTCTAAAAAAACTCGGTATTTTTTGGTAATACTCGGTATTGCTCGGTATTACTCGGTATTGGTCTTCCCAGAGTGGTATTCCTCGTTATTGTCAAAGAATACCTAGCAATACCGACCAAATACCGAGCAAAAATCGAGTAGCAATCCTTTGACCGAACGTTGATCTACGTCCGGTCAGAGGACATAATAAAAGTTCGCGGAACAGTCACTCGTAGGACAATTTCTCCAGAGTCTTTTTTTTGGATTTAAGACAAATATTTGATCATCAATTGTTGTTCAAACAACTGTATAAAAAAAATAATTATTTAACTGTAATGTGCGTATAGATCACATTAAAATCAGAATGATAGCACAGTGCATATATTTGACCATCCTGTTCAATACTCGCACCAAATATTTTGGTATTACCTTAATTTAGATTTTATTTATACTTATCAATAATTAGCCCTAATCTTTACAATAAAAAATCATTTTAACACTGAAAAAGTAATTATATGTGTCTAATAGATAAGTTATGTATGCTTAAGCATATTTTAGGTTTTGTTTAAGATAACTTTTTACTGTTTTTTTAAACAATTTTCTAATATAAAAATTTTCTTAAAAACAACGAAAAAACAGTGGTAAAAAACTATCTCAAACAAAGCCTTAGACAATTTTTTCGCTAATTCTTAAAACGATTTTCTAATACAAAAATTTCTAATTCAAGAAACTTTTGTACTAGAAAATCGTTTTAGAAAACAGAAATTGTTCCGAACGAAGCTTTAATTTGTACCATAGGCTTGAAAATACATATTTGCGCATGAAATGAATGCTTTAAATGCTTTGAAAAAAGAAAGAAATATTTTCTTTAAAATAATAAAACTCAATATTGAGTGCATTATTCTTATTTCTCTCATATATTTCTTCAAAATTCACAACATTAATAAAATTGCAGTTACATAATTTAGAAAATGCTAATAGAAGGACCTCAATAATGTTAAATCTTTGTATAATCCTATTTTTAAATTTGTCTCAGCTCAAAGCCTTATAATTTATTTCAAATAATATCAGGATGAAGACTAATACCAACTGCATTTGTCCTCTGAGAACTTTACAGGCCTATTACTGTTGGAATCAATGGCAAGATTACATATAATATGCCTGTGACTCTTCACCCTTACCAAGAACCCTACAAGATATCCTTGGCTAGCCATGTCCAAGTTTAGTGTCATTGGAGCTTTAATAGAAGTTCTTGACAGATCTAAGCCCAGGCTAGCTCCATAAAGAGGAACCTGGTCACCCATCAGAATGATAGACTTAACTTGATGGTTTTTTCTGGGCAGATAATACTCCTCCACCTGCAACAAATTTCAAATTTGTGGATGAATTGGATTTTTACTGATGAAAATGCTTTCATATCAGATTAGCTATGTTGGAATTAGTGTAAAAATAGTCATTTTAACTGAAAAGAACTATGGAGTTTGTAATATTTCTGCTTTTCAGATAATTAAAATCTGTCATAATCTAAGTAGTCAAATTTGAAAGAATTGTGTTAGCAGTTTTGTAGGTTAAAGTCTGCCTTTCTTCAAGATCATGTGTTCAAATCCCACATAGAGTTCATGTGGTTGCTTAGAGACAGAAAACAGAGTCTGAAAAAAATGATGAGATTTACTACTTTCCATTATTTAATTAGATGTATTCAGAAGTGAAGGAGAATTTAAAGCTGTAACAAAATCACAATATAATGATTCAAATTTTACATAAAATATCAATGAAAATAAAATAATCTCTTTCTAAATTATGTTTTCTATCCATAAGCAACCAACTGAGCTCTTAGAACAAAATTCATGCAATATTGGAAGTGATGTGTAGCATGGCAAAAAAACAAAAAGAGCAAGCAAAGCCATGGGCGGATCCCCCATGATGTGAGGGTGGGCCCCCTCCCTCAAAAAAAAAAAATAATGTACTAGCAGGGGCTCCCTCTCCCCCTCAAAAGAATATTTTTGCATTATGTAATTGAAAGATAAATGATAAAAATTTCATCTTATAAATTTGATAGCATTATGTTGATTAAAATTTTTAAAAAAATTCATTTTATTATTATTTTATTATTATTATGTTGTTGTTATTATTGTTGTCTACTTAATTAAAATTTTGTCCTCCCTAAAAAAAAAAGTTGGATCTGTCACTGATAGAAGCCTTAACTTTATATAGAATAGTATAGATTAGCATTAAAAATTTTACTCTGGAGGGGTGCTACTGAAAGGGTAGTTGGTTGAAGAAGTCGAGCAAAGATCATATGGGATTACATTAAAAGAAACAAAAAAGAAGAATTTTGAACTTCTTGTAGAAGATAATAGCTCCCAATAATTTTTAAAGTTAACAAATGATCTATTCAGGTTACAATGAGAGCTGCTTCATGAAACATACTCACCAAATGAGTTGCTTAGTAGCAGGTAAATCCATATGTTGCTACTGTGCAAGTAGTTGAGCTCTTTATGGCTAAAATGGGCATATAAAAGTAATAAGATGAAGCCAGCTTACCTGATTTACAGCAACCCGTATTTTGGAATAGAAGAGACTAACATGGGTAGAGGTAACATGAACGCCAAAATATGGAGCAGGATTGAACACGTTGATCTTCACAGTACAATTAAGACCAAGCATTTTTGTTGGCACTCCAGTACGATCTTGTCCAATTCCAGCATGAAAATAATTCACAACCAAGCTCTGTAAGAAGTTAGTTTTTGTTAAAAGAAAAATGGTAATTTGCAATGAAGAACTTTTGCAAGAAGTCTTGATTCCATACAGATTTGGATCTCCACAAAAGAACTAACGAAGAGTTTTTTTAGCAATGGAGTACCATTTGCGCTACTTTAATTACAATTACACAATTAAGTTTATGTAAGTGTGATAATTTTATATAAGCATCATTAAACTACCTAAGACAATATAAATAGATTCATTTGGGGCAGCTTTCTTAATTTTTTCGAGAGCAGCTTTCTAGCATAAAAATTTCAAGTTCAAGAAATTTTTGTACTAGAAAGCTGCCATAGAAAACAGTTAAAAAATCATCCCAAACAAAACCTTAATTTCATACATTTGAAAAATCTATATAAAATTAACCATTCAAGCGTTTTCTCTTGAGAAGCAACATAGCTTTCAAACATAGCCAACAATGGTGACCCATCACCAAGTAACAATAGTTCGGCCAGTCTATTTCATCTGTAGTTGCATCCTTTTTGTAGGGATTTATTTATTTGTTGTTATTTTAGTTTTCATGTTTTAGTTGTAGTAACCTCTTAGGCTTCATTTGGGACAGCTTTCTTACTGCTTCTTAAAGCTAATTTTTAAATTATTGTACTAAAAAGTTGCATTAAGAAGCAATAAAAAAACCGTCCCAAACGAAGCCTTAGTTTTTCTTAGCAAATATCTTCACACATGATGACAACAAAAAACTCTAAGAAAAAAAAAAGGTTTGAAGAGATCAACAAACATAAAAACCATGAATTCAAAAAACAATTTTAATGAGCTATTCATTACCTCCACTGCCACCTCAGGTGCATATTGCCTGCTTACTCCCCATATGATGAAGCCAGCAACAGTACATATCAAAATAAAAGCAACTAAACCAAAAAACATCTTGAATACAATTGAATGCCTTTCAACATCACCATAATTGAGCTCCTCGTCAATGGTTGAATAATCAAACCATCCTTTTTCATTCAGCCTCCTCCTCTCCTGCGGCCCCGTCGTAGATAAATTAAAGGACTCAGAAATCAGGCTGGCCGATGAAAACCTTGCGGGAGAATCTGAAGGGCTATTGTAGACTGGAGTGGTTCTTGACGAGGACTTATTTCCATCATAAGAATCCCCAGATGGGCTCTGCACATAGTAAGCTGGAAGTATATTTGCGAATCGATAAGGCAAGGAATCATTTAGGGTTGAGACGTCTGAATCAGAAATAGTTCTCATCATCTTGACCTAAGGGAGCAGTAGAAAGACGAAAAATCTCGTCTTGCAGAAGGGGTGATTTGCTTTAAAAGAGGAAAGATCTCAGAGGACAAAATTTTCAAGGGAAAACCAGTACATGAAGGAATCAGAACAATGTTCTGAGAATCAAAAAGGAAGATTTGCATGGTTGCAATGAGTTTATAAGATCAATGTGTGAGACGAGATTGTCGGGATTCGATGAAGAAATCTTCTATGGCGGTTTCGGATTATAAAGCGGATCAAGAACGGATCATAATAATCTGGTTTCCTCTTCTGTGCTGCGTAATGAGAGAAAAAATGGAAAGTAATAGTGATGAAATAAAAATAAAATTAAACAGGAGGAGAAAACCAAAAAGGGAGATGAAGAAGGGGAGCACGGAGGAGCGAAAGTTCGTTAAGGAAACTTTCAGTAAGAATTTACTAAGTTTTTTTTTTTTGTAAAAATTATAAATTTAATTTTAAAAAATATAGGATAGGCACAACTTCTAATTTTATAAGAAATCAATTAACACAATAAAAGATAAATTTCTAAATGATGCGTGATTCAAGAGGATATTCTTAATAGGAGTAGACAAATTTAAATTAAAATGTATCTTCTATACAACTTTTTTTCCTTTGCTTTCATCTCCTTATTTACATAATGCCATTGTATTCGCTCCATGTAAGCCCTCAATATTAATAATGAGATGTTTTCGCAACGATTATTAGCAGTAGATTAATTACCACTACAATAGTCTGATTACGTCAATATTGTTAACTGTTTCGTAATTTTAGTGCTGTGAAAATAGTATTTAATAGTAAACCCTAAACTAAGGCTTCATTTTCGACAACTTTCCTACTGCTTTCTAAAGACACTTTTAGGTACAAAATTTTCTTGTTCAAATAAATTTTGTACTAAAAAGACGCTTTAAAAAGCATAAACAGGAGCGGAGCTAGAATTTTTTTCATGTGGGGGCACAAAATAGAAATATTAAAAATGATCTCACCTTCTTTCATCCAAACTTAAGACTAATATTGACGGTTTAAAACTTTTTTACTAGACTTATTATATCACAAAGTGATAAATTATTTAATTAAAAAACTTACAATCAAGAATAATAAGCAATTACATGACACCTATACTTTTTTCTTACGAGAATTGTATCTCTTGTAACTCATTTGGAACAATCAAATCTTTAGTTAAGCCATTTAGGCTTAACTAGAACCAATTATTTACTTAACTTCAAGATAAAAAAATGGATAAAAAAGCTTATTCAGATTTTTTTGACATGGTATAGATTAGATCTAAATAAACTAATTTTACAGTACTTGTCGAGTTTGCATCAGTTAGAGATTGGAGTGTTCAAATCTCAAATTCCTATTAATATCTAGTTCAGAAAATAAGAAAAAAACTTTTCAAGGATACAGAGAGAGAGAGAGAGAAAGAGAGAGGACATGCAAGAGAACAACGACAGAGGTTTGTGGCCTTGCGGAAGAACATAGAGAGAGAGAGAGAGAGAGAGAGAGAGAGAGAGAGAGAGAGAGAGAGGGCTGCGTGAGAGCGAGAGCACGCCGACGACAAGGGTGAACAACAAGTAAGATTTAGGGCTTTTATATTTACATATTGAGATATAAAATGAATTCACTTAAGTAAAATGAGATGTAAATGTTACTATTTTTAATCAGCTTATTAAATTGATAATCAAAAGGACTCTTACTTAATTAAAATGAAATATAAACGTCACTTTAGGGGCCAAAACTTCGCCTCACCTTCTTCTTTTTCAGCTCTGATCCCGCTATGAAGCCGGTTGATGAGTGGCGTGGAGCTAAAGCTCTCCCTCAGCTCCTCGACTTCCTCAGCTCCACTCTCTCACTCACGGCACCCGAATAATCATAGGATTTTCTTATTTCTGGCGGGCCAGTGGGGGCGCGTGCCCCCAGTGTCCCCACCGTGACTCCGCCCCCGAGCATAAAGAAAAATGTCCCTCTAAGCCTACATTCTACAAACTCTCAAATTTTCGTGTTATTGAAATTTAGTAGGTGGTTGGCTTTCCATCAACACTGGGCCAAATATTTCTTTCAGAAGATAAAATTTTTCGCAAAATTAAATGCTTGTTAATCTCATATTTTTCTTATATACCAACCTTTTACTAGGTTAGAAGTTTTTTGCAAACATTTTGACTACCACATTCTCCATTTATTTAAGAGGCTTAGGGTTTGTTTGGGATGACAATAGCTTTTTCTAAAATTAGTTGTGGAGTTTTTTTTTATTACAAAAAGTAGCTTTCCGTCATGAAATTTTTTGAAAAGCACTATCAAAGCAGTAAGAAAAGTGAAAGACTAATGATTTTTATATAAAAGCAAAGCAGCTAGAATGCTATCTCAAAACATACCCTTAAACTTCTAAAAGTTTAATGTAAAAAGAATTAAGATTACTGCTGACTTGATGTAAGGATGCTAATGTATAAAGAATCAATATTTTCATTGACTTGATGTACGTGAAGATGTTCCGCATATAGAGCATAGCTTAAACTAAGGTTTTGTATGGGACGGCTTTCTTACTACTTTATGAACAAGCTTTTTAGTATTGTATTTTTAGTTTGAAAAAAAATTGCACTAAAAAGTTTCTTTAAAAAGAAGTAAAAAAAAAAAAAAAAAAACGTCCCAAATGAAGCCTAAGAAAGTTAAAAAAAAAATCATGTTTTTATGTGGGCTCTGAAAATTGGTGCGCCGACCTCTCTGTAGACCCCTTTCTCTCTTTTTTTCAAGTCATCGAGGAGAGTTATAATGAGTATGTTTCGAAGAAAATTTTCAGAAGGAAGATTGAGTTTTGAATAAGGCATTACCTAGAGATTTCACCCTCATTTTGCGAGGACTTTATGATCTGAGTTCTAGTTTCCTATAGACGCAAGTCCATATAGTTAATTATCCCTCTCGATAATGAGAGCGAACTTTCAATTAAGGCTACTCATCAAACAAATACGTAGTATCTGATGTATAGTAGCAGTATGTTTAAGTATTTACAAATTTAATATTTAAAATTAGAAATTTATCACCTTGCATTTTAAGCGGATGGAAGGGGAAATGACAATGAGCATGATAAAGATCCCATGGTTCCATCGTTCCAGGCCATCATGATCCCTAGTCTACTTAGTTAGAGGAGGTAGGCGACCTAACTTGATAGGAGGATCCTTTTTGGCAGCCATGAGTTACTTCGTTTAAGGGTACCTCGTAGACTTGAGGTGGATATTTAACTAAGGGGACAAATCCGAATCCATCTTAGCTGATAGAGGGCTTTGTGCCCAATCAATTATACCATATTGATTTATTACTCAATGACTTAACACCTTTGGGAAACATGTGAGCTATGATTATGATCGTTATAATGGTACTATTTGGTGGTAAAACCACCCAATTAGAGGGTCCCGGTCATAACTATTTATCGGTGGTGTCATTTAGCAACGAATTCATCAATGTGGTGTAATTTAGAAGTGCAACCACTAGTTAGAGGATATGTAACACGTCCTTATAGGCAAGTGACAGATTGAGAATGAATCCTAGTGATATTCTGAATCAGACATTATTAACTCTTTGTGAGCTGAAATAATTTTTAATTTGTCCACCTCAGCAAATTATTAGGGAGGGTGGATTGATACTTTTGCTTTAAGTGTTTGATCATGACTAATTTCATTTTTAAATATTTGAAATTTGGGATAATTCTTAGAATTTTGGATTTTATGGGCATTTTGGGAGATTTTTTTATACATTTGATGTCAACTTTGATTGATATTTTCTATCAATACGGCTTTCTTCAGGGTCTTCATGGGCAATTTCATTTTCATTAATTGAACATTGTTGACATTGCCTACTTACCGCTAGAGGATTAGGTTTGAATCTGAATTCATTTCTTAACCCGCGTAGTATCCTAAGACATCACGTGTGTACCTATGACACGCTTGCCAGGGCTCATACAGGTATATGCCGTTACGTGTATTTTGCATATTGCATTTATGTGATTATTATACAAATGCAATGGATGTAAGTGACACATCTGCATGTATCATGTATATTGACCTATGTATTTTGCATTTTATATTTACACACTATGTAGCTGCAGTGTGCAATATTTTTACATATAGATGAAATATTATATGATGTTACTTAAATGAATCCCTTTGCATCTTATAAATACATGCAAGAGGACACTTGGCTATGCATGTACAACATATTTACACATAAATGCAATGTCAGATAACATACTGAATGAAACCCTCTGCATATTGAAAATATATGAGAGAGGTCATTTTAAATTATTATTACAATGTTAAACGGCATGCTGGAATGGAACTCTATACATATTACAAATGCATGCATATTATAAAATGAATATTAATGCATATTTTAATGCATGAGTGAGGGGTATTTTTAAATTTAGATGTGGCTAGCTTTGCAGGTGGCTATTACTGACAAGTGCATAGGATTTCACTTTGGGCTTTATTAATGTTTTATATCCACTTGTGTGAATGTTGCAGATCTGGTGGCGTAGTGATGTGTTATGGATTGTCTGTTGCTTATCGCATGTAGGTTATTGTGTAGCACTAAATTCTTGTTAACAAGCAATAATCATTTGGAGGATGCACAAGCTTCCTTGTGGGCACCTTCTATCAGCTTATACGACTATTGAGGATCCGGTGGTGTGATTTAGAAGCGCAGCTTCGTACAATATTTAAAGATCATCAACATCAATAGCATTAAGGAACAATGTGCGACAAACAACAATTCCTGCCTCCAGTGCTAATGCTTCAACGGTCTCAAGATTTTTTTTTCAACACTTTGAGCTCGAATTGTGCAGCTCAAACTTGCTTAAAACCTAGGCTACAACTTCGATTGCAGGATTTTCCAGGTTGCATTTACAGGAAGGTTTGATGACATTATTAAAATGGAAAGTTAACTAGTTGAAAGGTTTTGGGGACTTTTGCATAGCTCGAATCCTTCCACTTTTCAGGTTATTAAAGCATTCATGGATATCATAAGTGATCTCATAATTTTCTTCTCAAATAGGGTTTTTAGCTTTCAAGCATGCTTTGATTCAACTTATATTTAGAACTTATATACCATTCAAAATATCTATAAGATACTTCATTGTTTTGATGCGAGCTCCATCTCTTGTCCTTCGAGAGTTGAAATTCACAAATCATTTAACCTTGTTTAGACTAGATGAGGACATCCAAGTTGCATGAGGTAATTTTGTGATATATGAGATATCATAATATGATGAGACCAATGGCTTGGTTGAGATACTATTATATTTCTTTTGTCTCTAATTCGTCACAAGATAATCTCCTCAAAGCATGAAAAAGACAAAACACAAGATAATTTTTAATTAATATCCCAACAACA